CCAGTACCTCTAGGACCAGGACTGGACAGCCCTGCAGACACACTGACCGGTACCTCCAGGACCAGGACTTGACAGCCCTGCAGACACCCTACAGCAGGGACAGCCTTGCTGGCGCCCTGATCAGCTGCCCTGTTCTTCTTTAGCCAATCACAACAACCCTGAGGCATCTCAGCCGGCTGGTATCCAATCACAGCGAGACTGGGGAATCTTGTCCCGCCCCCAGCTACGCCACAGTGTTTTTCTCAGTCCTCCTGACTGGGGGAACATGGTATATCAGTGTGAGCACTGTGAAACCCTCTTTCAAACCGATGTGGTCACAAACCATGCCCTCAAACCAACATGGTTTCCTTTCCAGCTCTCACTACTATACATGCAGACACTGCAGAGTGTGTTTGAGAGTCAATACAATAGGACCATAAACCAATCAATTTAGCAAGTCCAATATTCCACCCACGCAGATCGGCAATCTTGCAAATATGCAGGCATTTTCTGACAGAAAGAAACACAATACATGCAAAACCTTTGTGCTGTGCACAATAAACTCTGTTATCACACAGCTAAGACATTATGGATATTAATTCCAATTGAGTAGGCTCCAAACCCAGACATGCACACAACCGATTGCTGGATTGTGGAACAATTGCAATGCATCACAATTGACACAGTGCTCCAGACACGATCAGAATTGAACCCTGTGGTTAAGCACCTACAGTACACCAATAAAAAAATACTTCTGAAAAGTTAGAGCTAAACAGGATCTGCGTGGGCTGCAGTTTGCAGAGCATCAAAAATCACAGTGATTCAACATTTCTTTGCACAAGAAAAACAACACAGCTCCTGGAAACCTGAAAAAAAACTGGGCTTTTGCTTCTGATATCCACACTGACTGTGACAACACACAGGAAACACTCAAAACCACTTCAGTCCCAGCAGCTTCGTCGTTAGCAGTGACCATATCGCCTGAGGGGACAGACACACCAACATTAGTGTCGTCTCCCAACAGGCATTGAAGCTGCGATCACCTGACACTGGTTCATCTGGGTGGGCGATGTCTTCTGGAGGTCAAACTCCAGGTTCCTCCTGATGTTGCCAATATATCAGGGGCACCACAGTGGTCAACATTGCTGCTTTGCAGTGCTGAGGCCCTGGGTTCAGTTCCTGAGGTGCTGTCTGTGTGGAGTCTGTATGTTCTCTCTGTGTTCACGTGAGTTTCTTCCAGGTGCTC